GTCATTATGCAGTTACTGTACTTGATGAAGATGTTGAAGTGTGAAGTTTCACTGTATTCTCCACAATAAGCTCCCTTTGCGCTCAGGAAAGTGACAAAGGGGCGCCTATCAAAACCATGCACAACAAGCGCAAATGGTTTTCAGATATCATTGGTTAACATAACCAATAAGTTTGATAATAGTTATCATGGTTACAAGGCATCATAACTCGTCCTGTGATGGTGTTTTCTATGGAAAATGTGCAAAATACAAAGAAATACATAGACTTGCATCTACATTTTCGGTCATATATAGGGGCTCTTATAAAGGTTCCAGATTGGTCTAGAAGTTTGTCAAGATGCCCTTCATTGGGTTGGTTGGCTGGTTTGTTGTTTAACGCCGCACTCAGCAATATTCCAGCTATATGACAGCGGTCTGTAAATAATCGAGTCTGGACCAGACAATCCAGTGATTGATATCATGAGCAATTGGGATCGATGAAATGCATCAACCAAGTCAGCGAGCCTGACCACCCGATCCTGTTAGTTGCCTTTTACGACAAGCAAAGTCACCTTTTACGGCAAGCATGGGTTGCTGAAGACCTATTCTACCCCAGAATCTTCACGGGTTCCCTTCATTGGGAAATACAGTAATCCATGATATATTTGGGAGGAAAACCCAACTCATACAGGTCCCTTGATTGAAACCTTGAAAAGGCTACAATGATAACGAACAAAGTATCATTATTTGGGACAATCCTGGATTCAAACCCTAGCTTTTATATCAAACCCAGGCAAAGCTATGCAAGAATGTAAGTCAGATGCTGTCACCTCCTCTGTGGTCTAGAGGTAGAGCGTCTGCCCGGAGAGAGGAAGGTCCGGGGTTCGATCCCCGGCCACGTCATACCATAAGACGTTAAAAGATGGTACTTGTTGTTACCCTGTCTGGCGCTCGGCATTAAGGGGCTAAAACAAGGACTGGTCGGCTCGGAGTCAGTATAGTGTGTCTGAGTGGGGTATTCATGTTCAACTGTGGCATGGTACCTCAGTGAGCTAGCACTATAAATCGGCATCAGTCCGGACTAGTACAAGCAGCCACACACACACACACACACACGTACATGCATGTCACTATATAAGTGCAATAATCTTGGTCGCGACGTTAAACCAAATTTCACCTCACCTCAGATGCTGTAAGCTTTTAGTCTTTAAGCAGTATGCCAGCAATATCACATCGGGGGACACCAGAAAGGGGCTTCACACATGTACCCATGCGGAGCATCAAACCCGGTCTTAGGTGTGTTAAGTGGATGCTTTAACCACTAGGCCACCCCACTGTCCCTATGACAGGGTTGATAACAGTTTCATTATTTTTATGTTTATTGATAAAAAAACCAGTGTTGTTGATCATTCTATGGTTTTCAATTGAAATGTTGATGACAAAAACGAAATACAGTGAACCCTTGTTAACCCAGACAGAGGAACTTCAAATGAAGGTGAATGAGTGAGTGAAATCTATCTTCATCATATTTCTAAGTTTTGCCATTTATACCCTGGCATTGAGTGAGTGAGTGAGAGAGTGAGTATGGTTTAATGCCGCTTTTAGCAATATTCCAGCAATATCACGACAGGGGACACCAAAAATGGACTTCACACATTGTACCCACGTCGGGAATCGAACCCGGGTCTTCGGCGTGACGAGCGAACGCTTTAACCACTAGGCTGCCTGACCGCCCCTCCATGGCATTGAAGTTAAATACATTCATCATCATCACTTACGTACATCCCCCGTGAAGATCTGTGTTGGAATAGGTCTTCAGCAACCAGTGCTTGTCATAAGAAGCAACAAACAGGATTAGGTGGTCAGGCTCGCTGATATCACCTTTTAAGGAAGATAATTTATGGATGTCAACTTCTTTATTATGAGGAACACAACATTTCCGAGTATATGCTTACTCCTTCATCAGGTGAATGAATGCTATAAGGCAGAGAGCCTATATATGTACACGCCAGAACAACAATAGTAATAAGATAAGAAAAGGTGGAGGCACAATTAGCGGTGTAAGTCCCAACTCCCGAGTTTTATAACAATCCTGGCCTTGTCCACACTTTATACCACAAACCTACAAAACATAACAAACCTGACCGACCTACTCTCTTCTTGGATTGGTTACAATTGGAAACATAAATTTTTTCCTTACAATGACCTCAAGGTTTGTTTGTTTGTTGTTTAATGCTGCACTCAGCAATATTCCAGCAATGTGACAGTGGTCTGTTGACATCATGAGCATTGATCCATGCAATTGGGATACGATAACATGCATCAACCAAGTCAGTAAGTCTGACCACCCAATCCCATTAGTCACCTCTTACGACAAGCATAGTTGCCTTTTACGGCAAGCATGGGTTGCTGAAGACCTATTAATATATTCTCTACCTGGATCTTCATGGGTCGAGCTCAAGGTCACAGGGCCATGTATCACCAGATACAGAGATATCGAGACCAGCTCGGACCCAAAATCCTCACGAGGTCAACCAGCATGTTCAACAGCAGATAATACTTATTTTCTAAGTTCGAGGGGGCACGGGTGGCCCAGTCGTCTACGCCACCGCAATTCGCTGTGCAGAGTTGCATCCCTTCGGCATGCCAGAAACCTCTGATTGTGAGTTCAATACCGAGTCGCCCCGATTATGTTTCTAGGTTTGTCAGCACCATACCCGTGCTCGTAGGTTTCACCGAAGTGGTAAACGTCCAAACCTGCATCACTTCGGGCCTTCCTCCAACATAAAGCTGACACATCGTGATATAACTGGAATAATGTTAAAAGCGCCGTTAAACCCAAACCCAACTCACTCACTCACTCTAAGTTTGACGTAATTTCGAACAATTTTATACCTAACATCATCTCCTCCTTGAAACTAAACCCACACATCAAAGGGCATTCCTTTGACCAATAGTGAGTGAGTTGGGTTTTACGCCGCTTTTAACAGTATTCCAGTTATATCGCGGCGTGTCAGCTTAATGTGGGAGGAAAGCCCGGAGTGATGCGAGTCTCAGACGTTTACCACTTCGGTGAAACCCACGAGCACGGGTATGGTGCTGACAAACCTAGAAACATAATCGGGGCGAACCGGGATTCGAACCCACAATCATAGGTTTCTGGCGTGCCCAAGGGACGCAACTCTGCACAGCGAATCGCGGCGCCTTAGACGACTGGGCCACCCGTGCCCCCCCCTTTGACCAATAATTCTAAGACCACTTCAATTGACTTCTTGACCAATCAATTCATTGGGTCTGAAGTGTCTATACACTTCATGCGTATTTCAAGGTCAACGAGACCTCTTATGTTCTGAACATCAAAATATTCCAACTTCTCTAAGATCTAATCTCAGAACACTAGCTCTGGATTCGTTCAATTATTTAGATTCTTCAAAAGTCAAATTAACCCTGATTCTGAAACCAAGTTAAACCAGTGGAAATGTTTGATTAAACTTCGCCATTCTCCGTTTGATAATCAAACAAATCACCGCGTGAGTAACCTGAGAATAGCCAGGAGGACAAGGATGTCCATCCATTTCATTCATCAGGCTGAGCTATGGGGAGTCATTACATCTGACATCTGACAAACCAATATCATCACATGGTCATAACAGTCCCCCCCAAAAAACATTTTCACTTGTTGTGCATGGTTTTGTCAATTTCCTGAGCACAAAGGGAGCTTATTGTGGAGAATACAGTGTCTGCAATATTTTTCAAAGTGGGATTGAAATACACATACCATATTCGACCTAATAAGCGCCCAGGGCGCTCTCAAAATTAGAAATAAGGGTCTCTTATTAGAATAATATTTTGGTGGAAAAAAACAGTTGAAAGTAAAATTTCGTGGATTATACTGACAGCCTGAACTGTTTATATACGACAGATATATTTTCAAGAATGTAATTGCCCATAATTAAGGGTGCATATAACACACGAGTGCGTTTTATACACGAAGAGATAAGTCTTTTGTACATTGATCAATCGGAAGGGGTGCTAATTGAGATTGCTCACTTGCCAATATATTAGCAAATATCGCAGTGGGCGCTAATTAGAGCGGGGCGCTTATTACGTCGAATACAGTATGTTTTAAATACATGACAGGGTTCAAAATTCCTTGTATTTAGTGCCAATGGCATGGTTAAATCACAATCGCACGAATAAAATATGTTCCCAGTGCTTGAAGGTCACACTTTTTTAACAACAGTACCCTGTGACAATGGTTGTTAAATGAAGCTTTGAACAGTATTCCAGTTACATCACGCCACGTCAGCCTAAAGATGGAGGAAAGCCTGAAGTGACGCAGGCCTAAGTCTTAGACATTTATCACTTTGGTTGAACCCACAAGCACAAGTATGATGCTGTCAAACCAAGACACAAAATTGGGGCAAACCAGGATTCAAACCCACAATCATAAGTTTCTGGTGTGCCAAAGGGACACAACTCTACACAGCAAATTACTGCGCCTTAGACGACTGGGCCACCCTGGCTCCCTGCAACATACAGGGCTGATTTAAAAGTCGTGAAAAACATCCAAATTTGAAATTAGCACTGTTTGATTGGCATTTTTAGAAGTTGGTAAGTAACAGTAGTGACAAGATATTTTTATGGATGACAACTTTCTTTATTCCATAATGAGGTGATGTATCGGTATAGATCCTTATTCCATTGTTTTGTATTGACAACGGTATAAGGATCTATACCAAAACGTATTTTAGTATGACTTTTCACACACATTACAAGTTGTTATGTAAGTGTTCCCTTGTTATTGCGCGCTTTGGTTATAGCGCGCGGTAAAGCATGGCAAGAAAAATTTAAATGTCCGGAAAGAAATATTTTAAACCGGACATTTGAGATTCCCAATCGGACATGTCCGGCACATATGACAGTTTCCGGACCCCTGGTCTTGAGTCTGGAAGTTTTGTACATGCTGTTGTAAATGAATTTTGACGGAATGAGTAACCTTTTCCTTTTGAATATGGAAGCAAGATAGAGTACAAGGTCCTGACAAGCCAGGTAAATCAGGTGGTCAGGACAATCCAGGTAAATCAGGTGGTCAGGACAATCCAGGTAAATCAGGTGGTCGGGACAAGCCAGGTAAATCAAAAAGTCAGGACAAGCAAGGTAAATCACAAAGTCAGGACAAGCCAGGTAAATCAGGTGGTCAGGACAAGCCAGGTAACTCACAAAGTCAGGACAAGCCAAGTAAATCACAGAGTCATGACAAGCCAGGTAAATCACAATGTCAGGACAAGCCAGGTAAATCACAATGTCAGGACAAGCCAGGTAAATCACAATGTCAGGACAAGCCAGGTAAATCAGGTGGTCAGGACAAGCCAGGTAAATCAGGTGGTCAGGACAAGCCAGGTAAATCAGGTGGTCAGGACAAGCCAGGTAAATCAGGTGGTCAGGACAATCCAGGTAAATCAGGTGGTCAGGACAAGCCAGGTAAAACAGGTGGTCAGGACAAGCCAGGTAAAACAGGTGGTCAGGACAAGCCAGGTAACTCACAAAGTCAGGACAAGCCAGGTAGATCACAAAGTCAGAACAAGCCAGGTAAATCACAAAGTCGGGACAAGCCAGGTAAATCACAAAGTCAGGACAAACCAGGTAAATCACAAAGTCAGGACAAACCAGGTAAATCACAAAGTCAGGACAAACCAGGTAAATCACAAAGTCAGATAACTTACAAAGTCAGGACAAGCCAGGTAAATCACAAAGTCAGGACAAGCCAGGTAAATCACAAAGTCAGGACAAACCAGGTAAATCACAAAGTCAGGACAAACCAGGTAAATCACAAAGTCAGGACAAGCCAGGTAAATCACAAAGTCAGATAACTTACAAAGTCAGGACAAACCAGGTAAATCACAAAGTCAGGACAAACCAGGTAAATCACAAAGTCAGGACAAACCAGGTAAATCACAAAGTCAGATAACTTACAAAGTCAGGACAAACCAGGTAAATCACAAAGTCAGGACAAACCAGGTAAATCACAAAGTCATGACAAGCCAGGTAAATCAAAAAGTCGGGACAAGCCAGGTAAATCACAAAGTCGGGACAAGCCAGGTAAAACACAAATTCACAAGCCAGGTAAATCACAAAGTCAGGACAAGCCAGGTATATTACAAAGTCACGACAAGCCATCATAAGCACACATACAGAACATGATGTCATGACAATAAGGCAATGTAACAGTACACAATAAAGATCTTTACACAGTCAGACATGCACCTGGATATGAGGTTGGTACCTTTAATTAATAGTATGATCAATGGTGCTGGATTAGTATAAAGTTCTACCAAGACTGTGAAGAGTTGGGATCACACCTCCCACTTCATCTCTGCTGCCACACAGGTAATGCGCCTCACTTGCCAACATGGCAATTCAAAGCACTTTGCTGATAGATGTCGTCATACTCTCCCCAGGGAGCTGAGACCGACATCTGACTGCCTCTGTCGTGAGCGCAATAACATGACAAGCACTAACAAGCACCTAGGAATAGATGATTAAGCCTTCCAATAACATCCCCATGCCATCCAACACAACAAGAACAACTGTTAAACAATGAAGGACAATTTCACGCACGAGAGAATGAGAAATGATGCTTTTGTTGAGCATCCGGACCAAATGTTTAAACATTGTGAGAAAATACCACACAGTAGCTTGGAACAAGCTGCTACAGAAATTCTGCCATCATTACAGGAAAGAGCTGAGGCATGGAGACATGAAGGATTAGGCTAGGTGAAATGGAGTTTAATGTCACTTGTGGGTGTGGCTGCTTCTACTAGTCGGGACTAATGCCCGTTTTATAGTACGAGGTGATCCTCCAGTACTAGCCATGTGTCAGTTGACCCTCCCAGTACTAGCCATGTGTCAGGTGACCCTCCCAATACTAGCCATGTGTCAGGTGACCCTCCCATTACTAGCCATGTGTCAGGTGACCCTCCAGTACTAGCCATGTGTTAGGTGACCCTCCCAGTACTAGCTATGTGTTAGGTGACCCTACCAGTACTAGTCATGTTTCAGGTGACCCTCTTAGTACTAGCCATGTGTCAGGTGACCCTCCAGCACTAGCCATGTGTCAGGTGACCCTCCAGTACTAGTCATGTTTCAGGTGACCCTCTCAGTACTAGCCATGTGTCAGGTGACCCTCCAGCACTAGCCATGTGTCAGGTGACCCTCCAGTACTAGTCATGTTTCAGGTGACCCTCTCAGTACTAGTCATGTTTCAGGTGACCCTCCAGTACTAGCCATGTGTCAGGTGACCCTCAAGTATTAGCCATGTGTCAGGTGACCCTCCCAGTACTAGTCATGTGTCAGGTGACCCTCCAGGACTAGCCATGTGTCAGGTGACCCTCCCAGTACTAGCCATGTGTCAGGTGACCCTCCAGTACTAGCCATGTGTCAGGTGACCCTCCCAGTACTAGCCATGTGTCAGGTGACCCTCCCAGTACTAGTCATGTGTCAGGTGACCCTCTCAGTACAAGCCATGTTTCAGGTGACCCTACCAGTACTAGCCATGTGTCAGGTTACCCTCTCAGTACTAGCCATGTGTCAGGTGACCCTCTCAGTACTAGCCATGTGTCAGGTGACCCTCCCAGTACAAGCCATGTGTCAGGTGACCCTCTCAGTACTAGCCATATGTCAGGTGACCCTACCAGTACTAGCCATGTGTCAGGTGACCCTACCAGTACTAGCCATGTGTCAGGTGACCCTCTCAGTACTAGCCATGTGTCAGGTGACCCTCCTAGTACTAGCCATGTGTCAGGTGACCCTCACAGTACAAGCCATGTGTCAGGTGACCCTCCCAGTACTAGCCATGTGTCAGGTGACCCTCCCAGTACTAGCCATGTGTCAGGTGACCCTCCCAGTACTAGCCATGTGTCAGGTGACCCTCCAGTACTAGCCATGTGTTAGGAGACCCTCCCAGTACTAGCCATGTGTCAGGTGACCCTCCCAGTACTAGCCATGTGTCAGGTGACCCTCCCAGTACTAGCCATGTGTCAGGTGACCCTCCCAGTACTAGCCATGTGTCAGGAGACAAGTGTTTGAGTGAATTGTGTGTTTTCAAGTGAATTGTGTGTTTTCAAGTGAATTGTGTGTGTTTAAGTGAATTGTGTATGTTTAAGTGAAATGTGTGTGTTTAAGTGAATTGTGTGTGCTTGAGTGAATTGTGTGTGTTTAAGTGAATTGTGTATGTTTAAGTGAATTGTGTATGTTTAAGTGAATTGTGCTTGTTTAAGTGAATTGTGTGTGTTTAAGTGAATTGTGTGTGTAAGTGAATTGTGTGTGTTTAAGTGAATTGTGTGTGTTTAAGTGAATTGTGTGTGTTTAAGTGAATTGTGTGTGTTTAAGTGATTTTGTGTGTGTTTAAGTGAATTGTGTGTGTTTAAATGGATTGTGTGTGTTTAAGTGAATTGTGTGTGTTTAAGTGAATTGTGTGTGTTTAAGTGAATTGTGTGTGTTTAAGTGAATTGTGTTTGTTTAAGTGAATTGTGTGTGTTTAAATAGATTGTGCCTGTTTGAGTGAATTGTGTGTGTTTAAGTGAATTGTGTGTGTTTGAGTGAATTGTGTGTGTTTAAGTGAATTGTGTGTGCTTGAGAGAACGAACTGAATCCTAACAGCAACACATCAGTCAGCAATACACTGATTCATTAACACAAATGCACTTGCTCTGTTTAACTGTTAACAAGAAGACGTCAGACACCTGGGATCGACTGACTTCTAATACCCATACTGAACAAACTAGCACAAACTCCAACCTGACCCATGACTAGATTGGCCTCCAGCAACCTATGCTGGTCCGGTGACCTGAGGAGATGATGGTCAGACTCGGTAACTGGATCGATAGAGTATCATCGTTTATCATCCAATACTGGCTCCCACAGGAGATATCGCTTGGATGAGATCAAGCGATATCTACACTGTAGATATCGCTGCAATGAAATTACATCACAATGCTTTGCAGACCATTGTGACATCACTGGTTACCATGACGTCACAATCAAATGACATCACTAATGGCTCTGCTACTGAAGCTGTTAGCAGTACTTTTTACACTGAAGACACTGCTAATTACTGTCTCCAAATTGAAAAAGTTGGAAGAATGATGTTGGATGATAAATAAAATCTCACCCTCGTGTCTTTTGACATCAAATATATCAACACTCGTTGATAAAAGTGGCAAAAATCCTCGGCAAGCCTCGGAATTTTTCCACTTTTATCAACTCGTGTTGATATATTTGATATCAAAAGACACTCGGGTGAGATTCTCTATATCCCTGCAACCCATGCTGGTAATCAGACTCAGTAAATTGGTTGATAGCATGTCGGACCCTGACAGCATGGTTTGGTTTGGTTTGTCTGTTGTTTTACGTCGCACTTAGCAATATTCCAGCTATATGACGGTGGTCTGTAAATAATCAAGTCTGGACCAGATAATCAAGTGATTGATGTCATGAGCATTGATCCACGCAGTTAGGATCAATGGCATGCTTCAACCAAGTCAGCGAGCCTGACCACCTGATCCTGTTAGCATGGTTAGTCGCCTTCTACGACAAGCATAGTCGCCTTTTACGGCAAGCAGAAGACCTATTCTCGTCCAGATCGTCATGCGTCCTGACAACATGGATCTTTGCTCACAATATCAATCACTGGATTTTATGGTCCAGTCTTGATTATTTACAGGCCAATGACATAGCTTACAGAAAACAAACTTAAAGATGAGGCCAAGTCATGACCACATGCAGCTGATGAACTTACAGCTGTGTTCTACAGCTACATTTGAGATACTTTTCTCTCCGAATGTCAACAGAATTGACAGCTTTCTGTGTCTATGGGTCTCAGCCAATGGACCATGCGTATGACGTCTGCCCAGTTGTTTCTTAAGCTGGTGTACGCTCATTTTCACGGCTTTTACGAATGAGCCAAACAATTTGTTCGGTCTAGTCAGACAGCCATATCCAGCAATTCCACGTTCTTCTTATGAGCTGCTAACAGACACAAGACTCCCAGAGGAACATTTCCCTGAACTTAACAAGCGGTTTGTGTTCCTCAAAACACATCCTACTTCTTACACATCACTACCCAATATCCATTTAATGGTCTGATTCTCTGGAACAGACGTCAGACAAATCCGTCTGTCAATTCCCGGGTCACATGACGGGATGGCAGCTGATTGCCCCAACTCTGCCTCATTATCCGTCTACCTGACAAAGGCTATAAAGTTCTTCACTGAGGCACAAACCTCTGTCAAATTGGATCCAAAAAATACATCAGAACGATAAAAATAACTCTTATAGCTCTGCCAGTTCAAGTCTAGCAAATACCTGTGCATCAAAGCGGACATCTTCAATGTAAGATGATGATGGGGATACATGTCAAACATTTTTGGAGCAGAAATATATGAAGAAATTATTTGTTCCCCATGTTACAAATACATTTTGGGATGAATATCATTTCAATAAAATATTACTATTTAACATAAAGGCCATGAAAAGTTTTGCATAATTATTTGGGGTAATTTTTCAGGCGACTTTCTTGTTTATGTTTGGTTTCAACAGGGGTAAAGTATCCAGATTTCGTTTCTGTGAATGTCAAGATTGTCTTGATTACAAAGGAAGAGTTATCTTTCCCTGACTATGCCCCATATGCAGTGAGAGATAAGGTGAAGTTTTATGCCCCTTTTAGCAATATTCCAGCAATATCACGGCGGGGGACACCAGAAATGGGCTTCACACATTGTACCCATGTCGGGAATCAAACCCGGGTCTTCGGCGTGACGAGCGAATGCTTTAACCACTAGGCTACCCGACCGCCCCTCCCCAATAAGCTGATGGCATGGTCATTTTGCAATTAAGACAAGAAATGTTACTTTTGTATGTTGATGACAAAAGATGTAAAAACAGAAAATGGTTAGAGCTTATCTCTATGTGACTAGTCCAACTCAAACTTTGTTGGGTAGCCTAGTGGTTAAAGCGTTTGCTCGACACGCAGAAGACCCGGGTTCGATTCCCGACATGGGTACAATGTGTGAAGCCCATTGCTGGTGTCCCCTGCCGTGATATTGCTGGAATATTGCTAAAAGCGGCGTAAAACCATACTCACTCTCTCTCTCACTCTTAGAGCATACTGAAGTGAGAAGATTCATCCAGAAGCTGTCTCTTTGTTTGAAAGTGAGTGAGTATGGTTTTATGCCGCTTTAAGAAACATTTAACTGTGCCATTATATATTTAGCTGTGGCACAGGCACTAAGACAAGGAACATCTAACCCTGAAAGTCTGAAAGGAGTGAATTAGTATGATTTTATGGCGCTCAGAGCAATATTACAGCTATGTCACAGCTGGGGACACCAGAAATTGGCTTCACAAATTTGTACCCATGTCGGGAATCAAACCCGGGCTTTCAGCGTGACATGCAAACATCTTAACCAAAAACCTACCCCATCACCCCGAAGTTTGAATCGAGGTGTTGACAAAGAGGACTTCACTCAAAATCTCTTCCTGTTCATCTCTTCTTTTGTTTTTTTGTTGTTTAATGACGCACTGACAATGACCTCGAATATTGACTCATCACATGATCAGTATTGACCTGTCACGTGATGAATTTTGACTCGTATGCTAGAAAACAAGATGGCGTCTGGTACGAACATGTCACAGTTTGCAGATACGTTACTGTTATGAAACAGAGGAAAGTTTAGGTTTTCATAAACTGTGAAGTGAATTTCGGCATAACAAAACAAATGGTTGGTTGGTTGTTAACGCCGCACTCAGCAATATTCCAGCTGTATGGTGGTGGTCTGTAAATAATCAAGTCTGGACCAGACAATCCAGTGATTTACATCATGAACATTGATCCACGCAATTGTGATACGATGACATGCATCAACCAAGTCAGCTAGCCTGACCACCCGATCCCGTTAGTCACCTCCTATGACAAGCAGTCACCTTTTACGGCAAGCATGGGTTGCTGAAGACCTATTCTACCCGGATGTTCACTGGGTCTCATCTCTTCTAATTAGATGATGTCCAACACACTGATGCTTGAACTCATTACATCCTTCATTTTGAAGTGTCAATAAAATATGACAGAACGAGCTTAACTGCCACATATCAATTATACAATAGTGCTAACATCCACAGCTCTTCTCAACTACAATGATGAATGATGAAATTGCCTTCTGTTAAATTACAAATGCTCTCTTCGCTTGCTCGAACTTCCTGACACTGACCTGCATGCAATAAGCACACCACTATCAACACCAAGCCTCATGCATCCTGACAATGGCAAATTTAACACTTAATGTACTGATAAGTTGTGGAGATAAACATCAGACATATGAGCAGGCCATAGCATGTCAAGGGTTAATAAAGAGAGGTGGGGGAAGATAGAATGTGT